ATAATATATTTTTAATTACTATATATAATTATATATATAGTAAATGCAGATTTTATATATAGTAAATGCCTAGTAAATACAGGTGTTCATTACAGTACTTTTCCCTTCTCCAATTTTAAAAACCAGATATATGTTTCAAAAATGTTATATAATAATTATATGTAGTTATATATAATTATATAATATCTAGTACTTTTGTGTTTAATGTAAACCAGAGTAACATTATAAATAAGACAAATAAATGGTGATATTTCAGGTAACCTGTGTAAGAATGTTTTTATATCTCATTTAGAGAATTATGTGTAAAATAATGGGGTGGATTGCAGTCTTTAGTGCCTTGGTTTGGGTGTTGTTTTTGAAATGATGAAATCTCCCTAGGGTGCCAGGAGCATTACAATGGAATATGCTTTCATATTTTTGAATTGATAATTTAACTTGTTCTCCTAGTTCAGTGTGATTCAGATTGCTGTGTGATGTAATTATTTGTCAAGTGAATGAGTAAGGAAATAACTTTGGAAAACAGTTAAGAGAATATCAGAGAACAGTATCTAGAAAATCATTTTGAAATACTGGCCGTATTTGAATTACCAGGTAAAAACCGTTGCCTGATGATGAAATATCATTTAGGAGAATTGGTTTTTCTTCCTTTTAGAGAAGAAGCAGTGGGTAGAGAGTTTCGGTTGATAGGGCTTAGAAAATTCTCTCAACCTAGTAGACAAATGGAGGTTCTAAATGTGTAAGGCAGCACTCCTGCAGGAAAAAGTTGGGAAGAGGACCCTTGTTGTTCAGACTCATGTGTAGAATTAATGTGATATTAGAAGTATACCTGTCTGGTTTTAAAATTATTCATACGGTTACAGATGTGAGGAGATATTAAATAATTGGGCTTTTATATTTATAATTTATCATTTTTATTGTGATTTTGTATGCATTTGTATCCAAGTGGTTTTATGGATTGAAAGCAGTGAGTCAGTTGCCTACACTCTGCTTTATTCAGAATAAAATGCCTAACTAGGATCAAAGTGCAGCACATTTCTTTCTGTATAGAGATGTTGATATTTTAAATCAACTTTTAAATTATTAACTTTTTCTTTATTTTGGAATACTTTTATAATTACAGAAAAGTTGCAAAGATAGTGCAGAGAGTTCTCATAGTTTCCCAACCCCCTCACTCAGTTTACCAGACGTATTACTACAATATATCTCTCAAGTGTAAGAAACCATCATTAGTACATAACTCTGAACTAACCTGTGGAATTTATTTTTTTGTTTTGTTTTTGTTTGAGACAGAGCCTTGCTCTGTTGCCCAGGCTGGAGTGCAGTGGCACAGTCTTGGGTCACTACAACCTCTGCCTCCTGGGTTCAAGCAGTTCTCCTGCCTCAGCCTCCTGAGTAGCTGGGATTACAGGCATATGCTACCATGACCTGCTAATTTTTGTCTTTTTAGTGGAGATGGGGTTTTGCCTTGTTGGCCAGGCTGCTTTTGAACTCTGACCTCAAGTGATCCGCCCGCCTTGACCTTTCAAAGTGCTGGAGCTATAGGCGTGAGCCACTGTGCCTGACCTTTATTTGGATTTCACTAGTTTTTCTATTGCCTTTTTTCTGTTTCGAGATCTAATTCAGGATACCACATTGCATTTGATTGTCATGTCTCCTGTGTCTCCTCTAGTGTCAGTTTTTCACTTTTCTGTGTTTTTCTTTCTTTCTTTCTCTCTCTCTCTTTTTTTTTTTTTTTTTTTTTTTTTTTTGAGGTGGAGTCTTGCTCTGTCACCCAGGCTGGAGTGTAATGACATGGTCTTGTCTCACTGCAACCTCTACCTCCCGGGTTCAAACGATTCTCCTGTCTCAGCCTACCAAGTAGCTTTGACTACGGGCGTATGCCACCATACCCGGCTAAGTTTTTGTGTTTTTAGTAGAGACGGGGTTTCACTATGTTGGCCAGGCTAATGTCCAACTCCTGACCTCATGATCTGCCCACCTCGGCCTACCAAAGTTGTGGGATTACAAGCATGAGCCACTGCACCTGGCCCACTTTTCTGTGTTTTTCATGACCTTGACAGTTTTGAGGAATACTGATGAGGTATTCCTCAAAAGTGCTGAAATGCCCTGCAGTTGTATGTAGACAATAATTCACACACGTATACATATACAGCATACATTTTATATTTATAATAAGTGGAGCTGAGTATTTCTAAGAGGGTAGAGGGACTTTGATTTGATTATCTTAGATTACTGGTATTGACTACAACTAATTAGAATAAGAACTTTAACCTTCTTTCCATTTAGAAAGGCTTTGATTAGAGAAGCTGTGTAGTGTTGGGGTCAAGAATTTGAGTTTCAAAGTAAGGCAGGCATGGATTCCACCATTTCCTGGTCATGTAGCTATATCTAAGTTCCAAATTTTAAACTTTTTCATCTAATAAGGAGAATAATAATAGTACTTACCTTTTAGAGCTTATATGAGATATGCATATAATAGATTTATACTGGCACATAGTAAGTGAGTAGAACTAACTAACTCAATAAAATAATTTTATGACTGTCATCCCTGATTGGTCAAATAATATTTTAAAGTATTATCTATTTGTATGTGTATTTTCAGCAGATAAAGACACGGGTCTTGGTTTGTCTGAACAAGTTACTTTTTGCTGCTCTTAACAACCATGTCAGCCTTTTGGGGAAAGGATGGCAGACATTGGGGAAATGATTTCCTCCTGAGAAGTTGGGGTGGGGAATAGAGGGCGATACATTTTAGTAAATGCAGATTTTCTTTCTTTTTTTTTTTTTTTCTTGAGATGGAGTCTTGCTCTGTCACTGAGCCTGGAGTGCAGTAGTGTGATCTCGGCTCACTGCAACCTCTTCCTCCTGGGTTCAAACAATTCTCCCACCTCAGCCTCCCGAGTAGCTGGAATTACAGGTGCGCACCACCATGCTGGGCTAATTTTTTTGTATTTTTAGTAGAAACGGGGTTTCACCATGTTGGCCAGGCTGGTCTCGAACTCCTGACCTCAGGTGATCCACCTGCCTCGGCCTCCCCAAGTGCTGGGATTACAGGCGTGAGCTACCGTGCCCGGCCTAGTAAATGCAGATTTTCAATACAGTACTTTTCCCTTCTCCAATTTTAAAAACCAGATACATATTTCAAAAATGTTTAGCAGTTATGGTTAGTGAATTAAGGACAAATGAATTGTAAAGGACTGATTAAAAGAGGTTAGATATTATAAAAGAAATGGGTGAAGGGATGCCCTGTTTGGGTTTGAATCCTATATAAAACATGGCCACACCCTTCTTTAAGCGTTGTATGTTGCGGATAATCTTGCGATAATGTCGTTTCCTTTTTAACCTAGCATCTGGGGAGAGTAGACTAGAATCTCGCTCCATTTGGGAATATATGCCTACAGGGAATTTGACATGGGTAAGGTTGATTGTTATAAGCTCCTCCAGCTTCCAGTTTCCCCCTTCAGTTGTCATCTGCTCTTCCTCCTATGTAGGTATTAGGAAGTTACATCATTTAGTCACACTCACTGTTACTATGGAAGCGTTTAGTTTCTTTTCTTCATATTGAGAAACAAAACATTCTCAGAATGGATAGTCTTTACATCTTGATGTTTAGATAAGGGTTCATTTTGATAAGGACCTGAAAGAAAAACAAACCAACAGAAACAAAAGTTTCTGATTTTTAATAACTGTCCCCACCCCAGAGTAGGAGGGCAAAAAAGAAACAAATTTCCATTATTTTTTAATTAAAATGAATTAAGGAAGTAATGTAAAAGGAAAGTTCTTTATTTTCAGTTTATATTTCTGGATTTTCAGATACAAGAGAGGTGTTACTTTTTGTTCTGATTTGTTTCATTTGATTTTGGGAAAATTTATAGAGGTTTATTAATCAGATGTGTTCTACCAAGATAGGCTCTTATATACTTACTATTTTTAAACCTTAGCGCTTAATATTGCTTGCCAAAATAATACCCAAGGCAGTCTCGTTAGAGTTTTTATTTTGGATGTGTATTAGTGGTAGACAGTGTGGAAGAGCTCCTCTGGGAGGATTACATATATTGGTTGTAAATTCATTCCTAAAATATTAATGCACAGCA